AGGTATAGACACTGGTACGGTGTTGGGCTGCCCTGTGTTTGTGTCTGATTCAGTGGACCGGCACCTTTTGCTGATTCTCTTTCTGTAGCGAAAGCAGAGTCCACCAGGAATGCAGAGCAGCAGCACCAGAGCTTTAAGACCTTTTTTGGCGGCATACTGTCTACGAGCTACATAGATATTTGAAGAGACAAGAGTAGAACAGACATCAAGAGATGTACTAATGCATTTCTTGTTTTTCAAGTCATCTCTTACATGCACCAAGGCTGCAAAAAATTAAAAATACAGCCATTACACCAGCTTTCAGTGTCATATGATTCTTCATAAATCATTCTAATATGCTGATTTGATACTGATTATCACTGCTAAATATTTTTTGTGGAAAGCGTGATACATTTTTTCAGCATTCTTTGATAGAAAAATGTCAGAACAGCATTTATTTGAAATAGAAAGCTTTTGAAACATAAATGTGTTTTGATAAATTGAAACAGTCACTTTTGATCAACTTAATGCATCCTTGCTGAATAAATGTGTTGATTTATTTTTTTGAATGTGTAATTTTAAAAGATTTTGAAAAAATAAGTATTTTCTTACCCACTAGTATCATTCTATTGCTTGAGACGAGTCTTCCTTTACGATCGGTGAGCTCGTATCTGCCTATATCTGATGTATTTACATTGAAAATCTGAATATTATTCCTGGTTACTTTAAGCCGGTTGATGTAGTCTGGGTGGTTCCATCCCACAAGAACTCCATTCTTCACCAGGATGAGAGATGAATTATTACTGTAAAAGTGAAGTATGGCATCTCTCCGCTTGAGTCCTGCCAGAGCTACTCTGATGGTCAGAGTTTGACCTGCGATACGATTAATGTCTTTGCTGTAGGCTGTAGAGGAGAGAATGACAGATAGTGAGGATATGTGGACAATCACAGAGATATTATTCTGAGAAGGAGGTTTAAATTACTACTCACTCTTGACCTTCACTATATAACTTCTGATGATTGCACCAGAGTGATTGAGCAGGATGTAGCTTCCCTCATCGTCAAACGTAACACGTTGGATTCTGAATGTCCAGTTCTTACCGACGCTGCTCACGTGGCCTTTTCTGGGGTTACTTGGCAGGAAATAAATGGTTTTGTTTTCCCAGATAGTAAATTGTGCACTCTTATCAGCACTAACAAACTTCAACCTCTGTGTCCTCTCAGGAAGATCCAGAGTCAACTGCTGGCCGTGGAATACAGGCACCTGAGATATTGCAGAGACTGACACTGGGGGAGAATTTTTTTTTTTTAGAATGGCAAGATGAGAAGAAGTTCTTTTGAACTGCTGGTAGTTAGCATCATGCATAGGCTGTATAATTGGCTTAACACATGATTTAACTTGTCCTGTTATTCTTGTGTATGTTCAGTATGGTTAATAAGC